GATTGCTGCCTGTCCCTTCCCGGGGCCCAGGGTCCTCGTGGGGATGGGAGGAGCGCTTTGAGATGACAGCCCAGCGGCTGCTACGTGGTGAAACAGCTCATTCGGTCCGGATTCTTGGGCACACAGACGAGCCTACCGCCTACCGAGCTCAGAGAGGCTGAGGAGCTGACCTAAGGTCACACAGGAAGCCACGCCCAAGGCTGCTAGGTCCAAGAGCCTCCTCTCCTGCCAGGCAGGTCCCACCCACAGTTTCCCCTGACTTCACAGGGTGTATGACACGGACATCTGTGGGTGTCTCTGGGACGGGACCAGGACCAGGCAGGACAGAAGTGGGCCCACTGTCCCTCCTGATATCTCTTCCTGCTCCCTTCTCCGCCAAGGCCGCCTTTCCCCCCTCCTCCACAGCACTAGCCTCGAGCCAGCACTCTCTCAGCCCTCGGCCAAACCACGGAGCCAAACCACGGAGCCTCCAGGTCCGGCCCTAACACCCTCATCCACCCCAAGGAGCCTCCTGACTCACCGGTGCAGGGAAAGACCCCTGGCCCAAATCTGACTCTCTGGGCACCTTTGGGCGGGTCATTCTTCGTCTCTGTGCCTCAGTCTTCCCATTTGTAAAGTGAGTTCTCCCTTGGGTGCACGTTTAGAACTATGCCTTCAGAATGGAGCCCCCAGAGGATCCTTGAGGGGGTGTCATGCTGTGGGGGCGACACATCAGCTCCTGCCAAGCCCCAGCCCAGGGGAGGGACTTTTTTCCACTCTTTTCTCAAGGAAGTTCCAGGGACAGCCCCTGAGAATCTCACTGGCCAGGACTCAAATCCAGACTCATTCACTTCCCTGCTGTGTGACCTTGGGCAAATGGCATAGGCTCTCTGAGCCATGCCCCCCCCCCCCCCATCTGTAACACAGGGACATCAAATCGACATTGCGGGGCTGTAGGGAGGATTGCAAGAGGAAGCGTCTGCAAAGAGCTCCCAGGCCCAGGCCAGTGCCACTCAGGTAAGCAATGGCTGCTGCTTCCCGGCCCCTCCTGGGATATGAAAGACTCCGGGGATTTTGGAGGCGGGGCCGCCCTCCAACCTCACCCAGAAAGCCGGACTCACTGGGTCAGGATTCTTGGCAGGGACTCTTTTGGTTGTGCTTAAATAGCTCTGGGAATGAGCAGCTCACTATTTCACAAAACATCCAGAGGCTCCCCTTCTCTCTCTCCCTCCAGCTCTGGGAATCTTCTAGAAGGGGCCATAATCTTCTAGCTTACCCCCAAATCTAGTCTGTCTCTGCTTGAGGCTGCTCGAAACCCGCTTTAAAATGAGCCCAAGGGGCGCCCGGGTGGCTCAGTTCGCGTCAAGCTTCCGACTCTTGATTTCAGCTCAGATCATGATCTCATGGTTCGTGGGATTGAGCCTCATGTCGGGCTCTGCTCTGCGCTGACAGCCTGGAGCCTGCTTGGGATTTTCTCTTTCTCATTCTCTCCGCCCTTCCTCCCCACTCCCTCCCGATCTCTCTCTCTCTCTCAAAAGAAATAAATAAACTTAAAGAAAAAAAAAGAAAAGAAGCCCGGAAGGGAGCTCTTGAAGCCGACCACATGCAGGATGGGGTTAATGCCCAGGGATGGGGGAGATGGTGGGATCCAAGGAGCAGGAAGGGAGAACCGAGGAGGCCTCAGTGCGAACAGGGCCCTCAAAGCTCCTGGCTCCTGGCCAGTCTTGCTGGAGTGTTCCACCACGTATGTATCTTCCTGCCTGCCTATCTGCTTCTGGGCAGGGCTGGGAACCAGGAGCCTGGGGCTCAGGCCCCGCCTCTACTTCCTCCACCCCCTCAACCACCACTGTGGCCTTGGGGTGGGGGTCCACTTCCCTCTTTGGGCCTCAGTTTCCACTTTTGTAAAACAAGGACATCGGACCAGCGATTTAAGGTCCAAGCCCTCTGTCTGTACTGGGATACTGTTCTAATGCCCCCTCACCTCCAGCCCAGGCTGCGGGGGGCCACGGGGCCCCCGAGAGTCTGTGCTTTCAGGGCCAGAGACCCCGTCTCTTCCCTCATCTCTAGTACCTCTTTCACACTGAGTGCCTTTGAGGGCTCTGTCGTCCCCCATTTGACAGGTGTGGAGATGCAGGTCTAATGAGGTAGAGTCACTTGCTAAAAGTCACAGGGAGCCACTGAAAACTCAGAGCTCCTCCTCTGTGCCCAGGAGAGCGGCAGGACCCAAGGGCATCTTTTTTCAGGAGAGTCACCAAGATCTTGAGTGTCCAACTGCCCTCCACACAGATGTAGACACCGCACAGGGCAGGGGGGTGGGGGCGGGGGGACCTGCCCAAGGTCAGGCAGCAAGGCAATGACAGATTGTGCCGCACTTAGGCTGCCCTGCCTCCCAGGCGCCACCGAGCCTGGGGGACAGCGACATGGCCCGACCTCCTGCCCTGGCCCTGGGATCTTTCCAAGATTGGAGCCGCTGATCTGCCTCGAAGACCCTGCTTGCCTGCTCCCCAAAGCTCACCACCCCCCACCCCCACCCCCGCCAACACCGGGGACTGAGGCCGCTAGAGTGAGAGGGGAGACAGGAACGAAAGTTGAGACTTGGCCACTTGCCCCCCCACCCCGGCCCTCCGGCCCTCCCTCTCCTCGTGCAGGGGGAGCGGCGGTGATGTAATGCACTCGGCTTTGGTCCCCGGTGCCAATCTCAGAAGAGAGACGACAGATTGCGTGAGCCAAATTTGGCATCCTAGGGGGAGAGGCATGAAAAGTGGAGATGTGGAGGAGAGGAGCGAGGAGCCTGGGGAGGCGCGGGAGAAGCCCCCGGCCCAGCGGACCCCGGAGTCACCTCCTCTCCCGCCACCCTCTCCTTCCCTCCGCCGGAGCCCACCTGGCCTCGGGGTCCCCCCCATACACACTCTGGGAGACCAGCCCGGCTCCTCTTCCCCGGACCCTCCAGCCCCGGGAACTGCCAGTCCTACCCCCCCACCCCCACCCCCTCGCAACACACCGCTCCAGCTCCGTTTCCCACCGCCACGAGTCTCCTGGTTACCATGTTGCTGGTTGTCATGTCACTTCCATGTCCTCGTGACTCAGTGGTCCCCGCAGAGGGGGCCCCTCCTCCTCACACCCCCCTCAGCACTCGCCCCCGCCTCCCCCAGATCCACATTAAGCACCAACCCGCCCTGTAAGCCTACACTGCTCCTCCTCCCCTTCCTTCTTATCCTAAGCTAACAAATCTTTCCACGGCATCTCCTAGAGCTACTTCCTTCTGTGTTCTGCAAATGGCTAAGAACCTACTATGCTCCAGGCTTTTGCGAGCTGCTTTCAGAGGCCTGACACAGTCTGCAAATCACTCGGCAACCCAGTGGAGACGGTACCAACAACCCCATTCTCCAGTTGAAGACACTGAGGCCCAGAGAAGTCAAGCCAGCTGCCCAAGGTCACCCAGCAGATACTCAAGGCCAGCTCTGTCTGTTCCCAGTCACCCCAAAGGCCTTTACGGGGAGAGGAGCTTCCTTTTCAAGGGTAACCAAAGCTTCCCGAGGAAGAGCTCCCGAGCCCCCAGGTCCCCCTCTGATTCCTGGACATTCGCCTCCTTGCAGTCTTCTATTTGAGGCCACAGACTCCCTCTCCGTTAGCTGTTCACCTTCCCAAAGGTAAAAAGGAATCCTTCCTGCGGGTCTGCCCAGCACTTTCCCGAGTCTGCGAACAGCCCTCAGCTCATTTGAGCCCTTGGAGGTCAGTGGGGCAGGGAGTTGTGTCCTCATTCCACAGACGGAGAAGTTGAGGGTCAGGGAGGAGAGTGACTTGCTCAGGGTGCTGGTCCCTCAGCTAGTGAGCTGATTTCTAGGACCCTGAATGTAGGGTATGCAAAGCCCGCTGCCCAGTGTGAAAAGCCCCAGAAAGAGCCCCCCTCCCTGTGGAAAAGAGTCGAATGTTCCAGGCTCCGAGTTGGCTATGGGTCAGCTCCAGGGCCAACAGCCTTTGCTCATACCACGTTGCAGCCCGGAACCTTCTCCCACCGCCCTCTCCTACCTTTCGCTCCTCTCATCCCAAGGCAGGGCCCCAGTGTGGCTCTCGGGGCCCCAAAGTCCCCCCAATAGCTCCCCAAAATTCCCGAAGGAAGCCCTGGAGGTCACAGGACTGTATGTGGGGAGAAGCAGAACATTTTACACACACATGCGCGCATACACACACAGAGAGATCTGGCTCCTCTCTGGGTCTTGCCCGCATGGCCCTGGGACCTCTGTTCCTCAGTTCCCTGTCCCCCCAAGCTGTCCTCATGGTCTTAAGGCCCTCACCCGCCAGCCTAGCCAGGCCAGCAGTGTGATGCTGATGTTGGTGGGGAGACAGGGAAGTTTCCCGGCTCTGGGGTTCGTTCGTTCAGACCTCTCTTTCCTCGTGGGCTCTCCTCCAGGGAGGGAAAAGCAGTCTTTGCCTCTTTCCACGGCTTCCGCCTCTGCCTCATTTACTGGACCCCACCCTGGGCTCACCTGGCCCCAAGGAGGTGCTCAAAGCATGAGAAGTGGGATGCTGTTTGCCGTCACATCAGAGGGCCAGGGCCGTTTGCAAACAGGTTGCAGCTGGGGGAGTGGAAAGGGGACCCCCCCCAGCCTTTGCCACAAGTCACCTGCCTTGAAGCTCCTCAAAACCCGCTGACAAATGGGGGTGGGTGGAGGCAGGGAAAGGTCGTGGCCGGGGCAGGAGGTCAAGGCCCCTTCCGCCTACTTCTCTCCCCCTTTCTGGCCACAACCCAGACCTTCGCGCTCCCCACCGACCCAACCTACCGACCGACCCGACTGACAGAGCGACAGACTTGCCAGCTCCCCCCCCCCCCCCCCCCCCCCCCCCCCCCGCCATGCAGGGGAGTAGCCGGACCGCGCTCATCCCGCGCCTGGAACCCGAGACCCGCAGGGATAAGGGTGCTGAGCGGTCGGGGCTCGCGGAGCCCAGACGGGACACACAGACACGCGCGCGGCCGGACAGACGGACGGACAGCGCCAGCGGTGGGCGTGCGCCCGGCTTACCACGGGGCGGAGGTTCCGACGGAGGTCCAGGAGGCGGCGAGCGGGCTCTACATCCCCCGGCGCAGTCGGGCGGGCGGCGTCCCGGGCGGGGAGCGGGGAGTCCCGGCGCCCCCTCCCCGCGAACTCGGCGGGCCGGCCCCGCCCCCCTCCCCGGCTGCAGGCGGATCTGTCCGTCGGCGTCCGGGTCTCCGCGCCTCCGGGGCCGTCCCGCGCCGCTCCCCGCGGGCCGCCCAACTTTCAGCGCTGCCCCGCGCCGCGCCCCCGGCGCCGCCTGGGCGTCAGCATCGTCGGGCCGGGCCCCGGCTCAGAGCGCGGGGGTCCGGGGGCCCATGGCGCTCGGCCGCCCGCGCTGGCGCCCCCCGCCCCCGCCCCCGCCGCAGCCGCCCGCCCCCCGCCGCCCCCCCCCCGCTGCTCTCGCGCTGTTCCCCGCCCCGCCGCACTGTCCCCCCTCTGCCGGCCGGCCCGGGATCGGCCGCCACCTCCACGGGCTGCCTCCCCCCCACCCCGGATCTCTGTCGCTCGGTGGGTCTCCTCTTCCCCGGTGCCGGTCTCTCCGTCTCTCCCCGCGGGGTCCCTTCGTCTCCGTCGCCCTCCCAGTGTCTCCCCTGCCTGTCTCCGCCTCTGCCCTGCTCTCTCTCTCTCCCTCTCTGTCTCTCTCTCTCCCCTGCGCGTCTCTATCTGTCCTCCTCCCGGTGCCCGTCTGTCCTTCTCCGTCTCTCTCTCCCCCTCCCACTCTCGGTGCGGCCCCCGCTGTCTCGGACCCAGGCCCGCGCCTCCGCCGCGTCCCCGGCTCGCCCGGGAGCCCGAGCTCCCGCCGCCCGCGGCGTGCCGAGAACTCCCAACTCGCCGCACACGCCGCCCCGCTTTGCGAGACTTTCGCCCCTCCTCACACGTGACCCGCGCCCCAGTGCGGAGGCCGCGCGCGCCCCCCCCCCCCCCCCTCCGGCCCCGGGCCCCCGGGGCGGCCCGCGGGTCCCGGCCCAGCCTCTTCTCCGCGGCCCAGCGGGTCCCGCAACCCCCTTCCCTCGGCCGGCCGCGCGGGGCAGGGCCGGGGGCCGGGGGCTGCGTGGCCCCGCTCCTGCCCCAGATCCTGCCCGGGTTTTCCTCCTCCCTCCGGGAGCGCTCCTCCCAGATCCCGTTCCGAGAATCCGCTCCCGGGTTTTTGTGGCCCCCGGGGACAGGTCGGTAGGGTTCCTCTGAGCCGGGAAGAGGGTGGGTGGGAGAGGGTCTGCGCTGGGTTCGGAGGCTCCGGGCCTCTGTGCTCGGCGACCCCCTTCCCTTCCTGAAGTACCGGCACTTCAAGACCCGACGCACCGTGCTCCGGGAGACGGAGGTGGCCTGGCTGGAGGGACCCTCCCAATCGCCTAGACAGCAGCGCCTCATTTTACAGACTGGGAGACAGTGCCAGAGAGGGTCATGGGCTTGCCCAAGGTCACCCAGAGGTGGCAGAGCTGGACCAAAACCCAGTCTCTTATTCTCTGCGCCGGCTCGGACTCCCAACTGTCTTGCAAAAGGAGAATCCCCCCCGAGTGTGCTCCAGGTCTGGGCCCCACACTCTGGGCTGTGGGGGGTACACCCCGGCCCCCCGAAACCCGCAGGAGGCAGCCACTTCCCTGGCCATCGGGCCGCCTCACCGCGCCCCTCTGAGGAGGCAAAGTCCTCCTCCACCCGTGGTAGGGTGAGAGAATACCTATAGTTAGACAACCAGAAGAACTTCCCTGAGAGCCCAGCCGTCTGTGGCTAGTCTCAGTTAAGAGGCGGAGAGACTGAGGCACCCCCAAGCCGGACCGAGAATGCACTGAAGGTGAACTCGCCTCCAGCTTCTCCTCCAAGCCGATCCCCGAGCCTGTGTCCCCTGCACACTAACCATCATGACTGTCTCCCTTCCCCTGGCCCCTCCCCACCCCCCGCTGGGATCCATCCCAACTCCTCAGCATGATGTACAGTCAGGCCCCACCTTATCCAGCACCCTAGATACCCACACATACACCCTGATTCCCACAGATTCCAGAACATACCAGATGCTTCCGCACCTCTCTGCCTTTGCGCGTGCTGTTCTTCCTGCCTGAGGTGCCCTTCCTCCTTCTCTGCCCAGAGAATTCCTGGTGCTCTCCAAGCCCGGGCTCCCTGCTGCTCCCCCCCCCCCACCCCCCGGCCCTCCTGATGCCCGAAGCAGAAGTTGTTCGTTACCCACTCAAGCAGAAGTCGTTCGTTACCCACTCGTTCGTTCATCCAGCCCTGGTACCCCAATGTTTTATGTAGCCTGTTTGTGAAAGGGGGTCCCTATAGAGTTCATCTAGTCTCTCCACCCACAGGGGCAGATGGAGTGGGGTAGACGCACAAGAAATGCACAGCTCAGAGTAGGTGCTCAATAAACGTGGCCGTCCTTTCTCAGTCCTGCCTCAACTCGGTGCGGAGCCCCGGAGACCATTCCATGCCCGCCTCCCTCATGACTCTGTGGGGTGTCCTCGCCGGCAGGCAGCCAGGACTGGTGTTTGCATGAGTCCTTGGTGTGAATGGTTGGATGAACCGGAGCAATCCGAGTCCTGGGTCAGTGGCAGACAAGTACGTGGTCCCTCTCACACCTTCCCATGGAAACTGAAGGGGTGCAGGTGCGGCAAATGACCCGTGGTCTCTTCACCGAGCCGGACGCCTGGCCTGGTGGCTGCCCTGGGAGTGTGGGGTGCCGGGGGGGAGGGAGGGGCACGGAGGGGAGACAGAGGTCGCCTGTAGACCCAGAGCCTCTGCTCCTGCGGGATGAGTCCTGATGCGAGGTCACTGGGCACAAGTTTAAGGAAAAGGTACAGGCTCAAGGGACGGTGACTTTTGGGAGACAGGCGAGGGAGGCCTGGTGGCCGTGACATCAGAGCGTTGAGAGGAAACACTTGGTACGGGTCACCCTTGCTAATTCTGGGACCCCTCTTGCTCATCTCCTGTAAGGAGGGTCTGGTGGGGGCCAAGGGCAGACTGGGAGGAGGTGGGGAGAGGCAGGAAGGGCAGCTCCAGAGAGAGGTTCAGGGACCCCAGGAAAAAGAGTCCCTTCCCCCCACCCCCCGCCCCGCTCAAGCCTTGAGCGCCTCTGGGCAGCTCGCCTCTCCTCTCTGTGCCTCAGTTTCCTCAGAGGTATGATATCCTATCATATCATAGGATAGTACCCCCCTGCTTCAGATGAAGGAAGACTAGAGGGTGAATTCGCCATATTTGAGAAGGACAGGGGTGGGGAGGGGAGGAGGGGAGGGATGTGAGACAGGTGTGTGGAGTCCTGCAGGGGCAGGGGAGAGAGGCTTGGATGTCAGAACCCGGGTGGCCCCTGGCGCATTGCTTGTCATCTCTGGACCTCAGGAGCCTCATCTGTGATGGGACAGTTTGGACTGGGTCCCCAAAGGATGAGGAGACTTTGTTGTCGTCGAGCACAGAAGCACCCCCGGAAGGAGTGAGTAAACCCGGCGCCCTTGTGTGGTTCCATTAGCCTGGCACTATGACAGGCCCTCCTGGGCACTGTCCCATTTCATCCTTACAAGAACTCTACGATGTGGGTGCTTGTTACCGATGGGGAAACTGAGGCACAGGTCCTACTGTTATAAGTGCCAGGGCCTGGGTGGCCAGTGACAACTCTCCGGGAGGGTGAGACTCGCTCTGGAGTTTGATGGTAAAACCTTCGGCCACCTGGACATTTCGCCAAAGCCCCCGGCCTGTCTCGCATTCTCAGATTTGATCCTCACAACATCTTCGTGGGGGAGAGTCGATGAGCGTCCCCAGTGCACAGGTGAGAAAACTGAACTGAGACACGGAGAGGGGAAGGGCTTGCCCGGTCTCAGCTGGGAAGCCAGTGTCTCGGCCAGAAGGGGAATCAGTTTCCCCCAGTTTCTGGGGAAAGGCCGTTCCAGGGCAGCAGGGTGCCCACTTGCTGGCTCGCTCTGGGAGCCCCGTCAGGCCTCTCTGGTCCCACAGAGGCCTTGAGAGCCTGTGCAGAGGGCAGGGAGGATGGGAGGTGGGGGGCTTGGGCCACGCAGGTTGAGCAACTGGAACGGGGGAGGTGGATGGGAAGGGCCGCTTCAGAATGCCCGAGTCACAGAGCCCAGGGGCTTGGGGCTTAGAGAGTTCCTTAACGTCTGGCCAGCCCATTCCACAGATGGGACAAACTGAGGCAGCCCAGCGGCTTAGATTGGCACTCAGACCGGGACACAGCTGGCCTGCCTCACAACTCGAAAGTCCCAGCAGCCCTGAGGGGTGAGGACCGATGGTGGGGAAAGGGGCGATGGGGGTCCAGCGGGCCAAGACCCATCCCAGCAGCCTGTGCCCTGGGGACGCAGGACTGAAGGGGTCTCTCCCGCCCTCCACTCCCACCCGCGCCCACCCTCCAGCACTCAGTAGTCACCAGGGTGGAATATTTTAGCACCTATAGAAAAACCGCCACAGACGGCCTGTGGCAGCTGTTGCTAAGGAGACGCTCCCAAAATAGCCCCCCTCCGCCAACCTTTCCCGCTGCTGCTCCTGCTGTGGGGAGGGGAGGAGGCCAGGAGGGGAGGGGGCGGCACACGAACTCTGGACCCAGGTTCACCCCCCCTCGCCTTGCTCCTGCTGCCCACGCCGCCGGAACACTGGGGCAAGCCGATGACCCGGGCAGCCGCAGGTCTGCAGAGGGGGCTCAGGAGCTGGCCTGTGCGTGCCTGTGGCCTCAACCACAGTCCTCAGCTGGAGGAAGGTCACCCAGATGCCGGGAGACGGGGGACAGAAGGGCGCCAGCACCCCAAGCCCCAGCACACTCCTATACCTGCGCACTCACAGACCTCACAGGTTTACACATCCACTTGTCCACACCACAAGTTCAACCCCACAAATGCCCCCCTCCCCAGATAGACATAGTCACCCCCAAAGACACAAATGGATGCACGGGTAAACACATATGCCTCAAATACACAACATACACCTGCAAGAACATACCACACAGCCAGAAATACACACATTTACATACACATACTCAAATATGAATCTCAAGTACACACAAACACCAATGTACACGCGCATGCCTGGCACACAGACACACACGCACACACACACACACCCCTGAGGTAGAT